TTTTTTTTTGTTTCAATTATTTAATCAAAATATCTCAACAAGAATATATATTTGAGGTGATATAAAAATATTCCGTGAAGCTCATTTACAAAACATGTGCACATGGAGGTGACATGGCCACCTCATGGCATTGTTGGGGATGCATGCATGTACTCCCCTTTAAATACAAGGCTACGCAGGACGGAAGGGGGGAGGCCAAGGCTAGATTCATACAAGTTCCTACTACTATATTCTTCATTCTTCTTCTTCTTTTAGCTTGGAGCTCCATTAATGACTCCAAGTTCCTACAATGATGTATATGTAAACTCCCCCGAGATTAATAAAAGTTCCTCCCCCTTTGGCATGGCACCACCTAAAAAGGCCCGTGGTTTTCTCTCGATTTGAGTTTTCACGTATAAATACTTTCTCTCCGCTTTATTTATTTACTTAATTTCCGGATTTCGCTATTCGGTGCGGTGCCGACCCGGTACTGATTTCATCAGGTCGACGCCCCGAAAAGGCGATTTCCATCACTGGCGCCACTCATGGGACCGTCACAAAAAGATTTTGTGCTCCGAGTCCGTAATAGAGAAAAAAAGGTGGGTTGAGAAAGTAAAAAAAACAAAAAAATGAGGAGGGATACGAAGTGAGAATCAAGAAGAAAAAAAATAGAAAAGTCAGAGAAGGAGAAAAAAACAGATAAAGAGAGAGAGGGACGGTCCACCAGATCCAAATCAATCCGGTCCACGACCAGTGCCCTCCACAAGGACGACGAGCAGCGACCCAATGTGAAGAACAACGAGGATCTTTCCGGCGAGCAGCGAGCATGCGGTAGGGCTGCCGACAGTACCCTCCACCAGGGTCGGTGAGTATCCTCCCAGACCGGTGAGCCCTCTAGCGTGCTTCATCCCTAGCGGTATCCAACGGCGAGCCATACCACTAGTAATTGTCTACTCTGGCGAACCTTGGCCCGGAAGAAGCAAGCACCCACTTCCTCCGGCGAGCCACGGATAGCAGCGGCGGGCTTACGACGAGCTCCCACTTTTCCAAAGAGCTGCGGATGGCAGTGGCCGCGATTGGTCTAGTTCGTCCATCAAGCTCCTACTACTCCGGCGAGCCTCATCGACAACAAACAGGCCTTCATCTTCGACGAGATCCAGCGAGCTCCGACTTCCTCCGCCGAACCACGGACGGAAGTGGCAGGCCCCTCTCCGCGGTCCTCTCTGGCAGTCCTCTTCACGATCCTTTCCGGAAGTCCCCTCTCTAGTGGTCCTCTCCGCGGCCCTCTCCGCGGTCCTCACCGGTGGTCCTCTCCGTGGTTCTTCCCGCGGTTCTCTCTGACGGTCCTTTCCGGTGGTCATCTCCGCGGCCCTCTCCGGCGATCCTCTCTGTGGTCCTCTCTAGCGGTCCTCTATGCGGTCCTTTCTGGTGGTCCTCCCCGCGGTCCTCTCCAATGGTCCTCTTCAGCAAGCTAGGAAAGGATCTTGAGCACTCCAGCTTTAAAGATCCCAAAAATGGAAGTATCTAGCCTTAAATGGACCATTCCAACTTCAAAGATCATCCAATGGAAAGATTTGGCCTTCGTGGACCGCTCCATCTTCATAGGTCCTTCACATGGACGGATTTCGTCTCAAGTGGACTGCTTCACCTTCAGAGGTCCCTCAAATGGATGGATTTTGCCTCAAGAGGACCGCTACATCCTCATAGGTCCTTCACATGGACGGATTCTGCCTCAAGTGGACCGCTCCATCCTCATAGGTCTTTCACATGGATAGATTTGGCTTCCAGTGGACCGCTCCATCTTCATATGTCTTTCACATGGATAGATTTAGCTTCATGTGGACCGCTCCATCCTCATGTGTCCTTCCCATGGACAGATTTGGCCTCCAATGGACCACTCCATCTTCATGGCTCCTTCACATGGACGGATTTGGCTTCTAGTGGACCGCTCCATCTTCATAGGT